GGTGGTGTGTGGTGGAGGCCACGGATCAGGGCCAGGAGCCGGGACCCCGCAGCGCCACGGCCACCGTTCGCATCGATGTGGAGGATGACAACGATAACGCGCCGCAGTTCAGCGAGAAGCGTTACGTGGCACAGGTCCCCGAGGACGTGGCGCCCAACTCAGCCGTGCTGCGGGTGACAGCCACCGACCGTGACAAGGGCAGCAACGCCCTGGTGCACTACAGCATCGTCAGTGGTAACACCCGCGGCCACTTCTACATCGACGCGCAGACAGGCGCGCTGGACGTGGTCAGCCCCTTGGACTACGAGGTCAGCAAGGAGTTCACCCTGCGGATCCGGGCGCAGGACGGTGGCCGCCCACCCCTCTCCAACATCAGTGGATTGGTCACCGTCCAGGTGTTGGACGTCAACGATAACGCTCCCATCTTCGTCAGCACGCCCTTCCAGGCCACCGTGCTGGAGAACGTGCCGGTGGGTTACTCGGTCATCCACATTCAAGCCATCGACGCCGATTCGGGTGACAACAGCCGGCTGATCTACACCCTCCTGGAGACCGGCGCTGGCTTCCCCTTTGCCATCAACAACAGCACGGGGTGGATCGTGGTGGCCTCTGAGCTGGACCGGGAGGTGGTGGACTTCTACAGCTTTGGGGTGGAGGCGCAGGACCAGGGCACTCCCCCCATGGCCTCCTCGGCCAGCGTCAGTGTCACCATCCTGGACGTCAATGACAACAGCCCTGAGTTCACGCAACGGGAGTACGGTGCCCGCCTGAATGAGGACGCGGCAGTGGGCACTAGCGTCCTCACCGTCTCTGCCGTCGACCGTGATGCCAACAGTGTCATCACCTACCAGATCTCCAGCGGCAACACCCGTAACCGCTTCTCCATCACCAGCCAGAGCGGTGGTGGGCTCATCTCCCTCGCCCTGCCCCTGGACTACAAGCTGGAGCGCCAGTACCTCCTCACCATCGCTGCCTCTGATGGCACCCGCCAGGACACGGCCCAGGTGGTCATCAATGTCACCGATGCCAACACCCACCGACCCGTCTTCCAGAGCTCCCACTACACAGTCAACGTCAATGAGGACCGGCCAGTGGGCACCACGGTGGTGGTCATCAGCGCCACAGACGAGGACACGGGGGAGAATGCCCGCATCACCTACCTGATGGAGGACAGCATCCCCCAGTTCCGCATCGCTGCCGAGACGGGGGCCGTCACCACCCAGATGGAGCTGGACTATGAGGACCAGGTGTCCTACACACTGGCCATCACAGCGCGTGACAACGGCATCCCGCAGAAGTCCGACACCACCTACCTGGAGATCCTGGTGAGCGACGTCAACGACAACGCGCCCCAGTTCCTCCGTGACTCCTACCAGGGCTCTGTCTACGAGGACGTGCCCGCCTTCACCAGCGTCCTCCAGGTCTCTGCCACCGACCGGGACTCGGGGCTCAATGGCAGGGTCTTCTACACCTTCCAAGGGGGTGACGATGGTGATGGTGACTTCATTATCGAGTCCACCTCAGGCATCATCCGCACCTTGCGCCGCCTCGACCGGGAGAACGTGCCATTCTACACCCTGCGGGCATTCGCCGTTGACAAGGGCGTCCCGGCCAAGCGGACGCCAGTGGAGATCCAAGTGATGGTGCTGGACGTCAACGACAACCCGCCTGTCTTCGAGCGGGATGAGTTCGACATCTTCGTGGAGGAGAACAGCCCCATCGGGCTGGTGGTGGCCCGGATCACGGCCACCGACCCCGACGAGGGCACCAATGCCCAAATCATGTACCAGATCGTGGAGGGCAACATCCCCGAGGTCTTCCAGCTGGATATCTTCTCCGGCGAGCTCACCGCCTTGGCCGACCTGGACTACGAGTCCAAGGCGGAGTACGTCATGGTGGTCCAAGCCACCTCGGCCCCCCTGGTCAGCCGGGCCACCGTCCACGTCCGCCTTCGCGATGCCAATGACAACAGCCCCCAACTCAAGAACTTTGAGATCCTCTTCAACAACTACATCACCAACCGCTCGGGCAGCTTCCCCGGGGGGGTCATTGGCCGCATCCCGGCCCACGACCCCGATGTCTCTGACAGCCTCACCTACGCCTTCGAGCAGGGGAACGA